CCTTTTAGCTACTGTTCAGTTCCTTTTAGCTACTGTTCAGTTCCTTTTAGCTACTGTTCAGTTCCTTTTAGCTACTGTTCAGCTCGTTTTAGCTAGTGTTCTTAATCTTTTAGCTACTGTTCAGCTCGTTTTAGCTAGTGTTCTTAATCTTGTAGCTAGTGTTCTTCATCATTTAGCCAGTGTTCATCTTTTAGCTACTGTTCAGCTCCTTTTAGCTAGTGTCCTTAATCTTTTAGCTAGTGTTCTTAATCTTGTAGCTAGTGTTCTTAATCTTTTAGCTAGTGTTCTTAATCTTGTAGCTAGTGTTCTTAATCTTTTAGCTACTGTTCAGCTCGTTTTAGCTAGTGTCCTTAATCTTTTAGCTAGTGTTCTTAATCTTGTAGCTAGTGTTCTTCATCACTTAGCCAGTGTTCACCTTTTAGCTACTGTTCAGCTCGTTTTAGCTAGTGTTCTTAATCTTTTAGCTACTGTTCAGCTCGTTTTAGCTAGTGTTCTTAATCTTGTAGCTAGTGTTCTTCATCATTTAGCCAGTGTTCATCTTTTAGCTACTGTTCAGTTCCTTTTAGCTACTGTTCAGTTCCTTTTAGCTACTGTTCAGCTCGTTTTAGCTAGTGTTCTTAATCTTTTAGCTAGTGTTCTTAATCTTTTAGCTAGTGTTCTTAATCTTTTAGCTAGTGTTCTTAATCTTGTAGCTAGTGTTCTTAATCTTTTAGCTAGTGTCCTTAATCTTTTAGCTAGTGTTCTTAATCTTTTAGCTAGTGTTCTTAATCTTTTAGCTAGTGTTTTTAATCTTTTGGCTCATCAACAGTTCAGTTTGATCACTTCAGCGTCACACTGCTGCTCACCCCAGAGGATTGTGGGTAATGTGTTCATGTTTCAGATGGGAACCAGTGTGTGTCCAACATGTGTGTCCATGGGGTGTGTGTGGACCAGCTCCAGGAGTACGTCTGCAGCTGTTTCCATGGTTATGAAGGCAAATACTGCGACTACAGTGAGTTTAATCTGAGGCTGAGGACGTAAGAGTCCTTCAGGTTGAAGGAAGTCTTCCTCCTCAGGCCTCATGTCAGAGTTCAAAGGTCATTTCCTGTCGTTCAGACGTGACAGCCACAAACTGCTCGGTGGAAAACGGCGACTGTGACCACGAGTGCACGGAGAGCGAGGACGGTCTSAGCAGGACCTGCAGCTGTCTGCCGGGGTACAGGCTGGACAACAACAACAGGAAGTGTGTTCCCAAAGGGAAGTCCTCCTGCGGGCAGCTGCTCATCAACAGGTCCGAATACGTCAAGACCGTGCCTGAGGGTCCGATGCCCTGGACCATCGGAGGAGAGGTGGGCAGGAAGGGGGAGAGTCCCTGGCAGGTAAGTGACCCTCAGATGTGATCATCATCATCATCATCATCTTTGTTCATTCATGCTATATGAACACCTCAGACAGATGCAGTCCAGGTCTCAGTCCAGGTCTCAGTCCAGGTCTCAGTCCAGGTCTCAGTCCAGGTCTCAGCTCCTGATGTTTGTGTCCAGGTGGTGGTTTTTAACGCCAGAGGGAAGTTCCACTGCGGCGGCGTCCTCATCGATAAGAGCTGGGTCCTGACGGCCGCTCACTGCATCGAGGGCAACAACAAGTTCAGCGTCAGGCTGGGTGAGCTGTGACTCTGCATACCCCCCCTACACACACACACACACACACAAAGGGTTAAAGTCTGGATCCAGGACTAATGCTCAGGTCTTGACCCGTGTTTCAGGGGACTACGAGCGCCTGAAGGAAGAGGGGTCCGAGGTGACCCTGCCGGTGGTCCGGGCCTTCAAGCACCCCAGCTACAACAGCCGGACGGTGGACAACGACATCGCCCTGCTGCGCCTGCAGACGCCCGCTCCGCTCACCACCTACATCCTGCCCGTCTGCCTGCCGAGCAGTGCCATGGCGGAGCGGGCGCTGCACCTGAACGGCACCGTCACCGTGGTGTCGGGCTGGGGCAAGCAGGACAACGGGAAGTACAGCTCGGCGCTGAACGTCATCAAGGTCCCGCTGGTCAACCGCAGCATCTGCAGCCAGCACATGTTCCCCCACCAGCTGTCCGACAACGTTCTGTGCGCCGGGATCCTGGGCCAGAGCGTGGACGCCTGCGAGGGGGACAGCGGGGGGCCCATGGTCACCCTGTACCGGGACACCTGGTTCCTGATCGGCCTGGTGTCCTGGGGCGAGGGCTGCGGCCTGAAGGACAAGCTGGGCATCTACACCAAGGTGTCCAACTACAACCAGTGGATCAACCAAGTCCAGGAGGAGTGGGACAGGAGACACCGTCCACAGTGACCCTGGACCACCCACTTCCTGTCAGAACCGCCTCACAGAGTCACAAATAAAGGTTTACTCTCACTGAGCTTCTGCTTGATGCTTTTATTCAGCTCCACACAGGGGGTCCTGAGGGGCTTCAGAGTCGAAAATCAGGACGTCTGTTAGTAAAATATCTCATAACCAACCTGAGGTTTGACCAGAGCTGACAGAGACGAATCATCTCTGAGCTGCTGTTTGAAGATTATTATTCAATTATTGTTTTTACATTCAGATTAAAGAACAACAAACACCCAGAACCAATCAGATCAGCTGATCAATCAGAACCAATCAGATCAGCTGATCCAATCAGAACCAATCAGATCAGCTGATCCAATCAGAACCAATCAGATCAGCTGATCCAATCAGAACCAATCAGATCAGCTGATCCAATCAGAACCAATCAGCTGATCCAATCAGAACCAATCAGATCAGCTGATCCAATCAGAACCAAYCAGATCAGCTGATCCAATCAGAACCAATCATCTGGTCCACATCGTTTAAACTGATTAATAAACAAACATTTAGTTTTTATCCTGATTTCACTTTGTTTAAACTTTTTATCTGTTTAAACTAAGGAATATGAATCTAAATTATCTATAATCTATTATTCTGAACTGTAATTTCCTTGTGTTCTGTACAATGACAATAAAGGTTTATCTTATCTTATCTTATCTTATCTTATCTTATCTTATCTTATCTTAAATATTAGTGACAGATAAACCAGGCTTCCTGAATCACTGAATCATTTGATACATTTAAGAGTTGCTCCACCTGCTGGTCAAGCTTTAACATTACAGCTGCATGAAACGATGAAGGACAAGCCGTGTTGTGAACCAGTCAGCCTCTGTTCTGTATAATAAAGCTTCTACACACATCCTGAACAATTTGACTGTTTTTAAAGAATAATAATATTACTGTAAAATATCATGATCACACAGCAGTTCTGAAATTTGTGTTATTTCCTTTTTACAAATACTCCACACAACTTTCTTCTACATATTGATACCTAAAACAGAAGTTAATTATTCAACTGGATCATCACAGAAATACTCTTTGGAAGAAATACTAAGTTACTAAAATGTATGTTAAAATAAGGAGTAAAATGGATATTTTTTGTGCAGTAGAGGGCGGGGGGCTCAAAGATAATTTTTATTTAAAAATAACATTATTTCAGCTGAGATGGGTTATAAAGACACTTTCATAGCATCTCTAAAAAAACATCCTTTTTTAAAAGTCCTGAGTTGAAACAGTTCAACACCGATGTGACGTAACGAGGCCTCGTTTGGAGTCACGTGATCCAAACACCATCACCACACGTCTGCTTCATTTAGTGTCGAAACAGGATCAAACAGGAGGTGTCGACCCCAACATCACTGCTAAATACGATATATCTCTATACAAATACTAACAAACCTATAAAATACTAATAATTCTACAAAGTCCTGAAGCCAGCTGCTGGAAAACATTTTAATGTTTTTGTGCTTTTTCATCTAAAACTATAAAAGATCGAATATATTTAAGCATTTATGTTGAAGGATTTATCAGGAGTTGATTATTATTATTATTATTATTATTATTATTGTTATTTTTTTTGTTCTGATTCATGTTAAACATCTGTTTAGTTTTTGTAAAATGAGCTCTGATCAGAAAATAGTTTCTGTTTCAGTCAGAACTGAACTGAAAGCTAAAAATATTTTTCAGATTTTTAATTTTTCTCCRGAGAAGCAGGAAAAACAGACAGGATTTATAACTGTCTCAATCAGGAGCTGCTTTTAGAGAAAAAATCCTGAAACTTTTAATTAATTTGTTYTGTTTGTTAAACTTATCAGAGAAAAGGATAAATTCTGAGTTTCAGTTTGAGTTTTTAGATAAACTCTGCCCTCTACAGGCGGAACACAGAACTACAAAAACAATGAGAATAAAATGTAATTAAATTTAGATAAATTTGACCTGTTTGAACATAAAAAATGTTTTCAACTATTAATTATC